TATGCGTGCATACGAAGACGTTTATAATGAATTCACATCACGCGGGTGAATTATGTACACGACAAATTTTTACGCGGCTCTACCGGGTCAAGCGTTTCATGCGGATGGGTCATGGCGGCGACGACGACGGCAAAATAAATGTATTTCCATATGGAAACGATAATAATAATAACGGACATCAAGTATTGCTGCACTCGATAAAACCGTTGGTGTTAAGACTCGTCCGTTGACTTTTTGAGTGTAAATTATGTACAATATATTACGTTGCATCACACATGATATTGTATTATCGATAACGAGCTGTGTTCGTCGTAATAGCGCGGTCACATCTTGTACCGTTGCACGAGTGATTTTCGGGATTTCATAAAGTGGGAGATACGGGTTGTAAAACGAATGAAAAAAAAAGTAACAGTTTAAAACTCTGACGTACTCGCGTTAAAAACGTCGAGATAAATGGCAAAACGCGCGTCGACTGCAATAAGCGACGGGTGACCGAACTCGAAAGTGTTCCGTCTCGCCTACGGAATAACATTTTTTTATATCAAATCGCTTTTCAATCATTTACAGCGTATAGAATAGTTTAATTTTGAATTGTATTCGTACGATTAGGATTTGAATCGTTTTTAATTAAAATATATTAAAGGTTTTGGTAAAACAATATATTTTTTCTAGTACTTCGATATAGTGGCTGTTGGCACTAAGTGAGCGACAAGTCCGAAAAGTTTCGATACCAAGCGAGTGGCAGAAGCGACAAATCATGTTTAGAAAATCCATTGAATAAAACATCGTCTCCTTAATCTTCGATACAAAACGATAAAAACGATGAAATATGAACGTTTGTGAAATTGGCCCACTTAAGTATTGCAATTTATTTTGAATCTGTACTATAAGTTTGCAAGTTATTTGCAAGTCAATTTTTAGAATTTTATAAGTCTAAACTTTCACCGTGAAACCAAAAAATTCAAAATTGGTTAAATTTCACGTTTTGACCTAGAATTTTGAAATTAGTACAAAGCAAAAGCTATTGATTAGTAAGAATTTTCAAGTCATACAGATTGTCACTTTTAACAGTTAAAAACTTTAAGGTATCTTTTTTTTAACATTTATAATAATAATAAAAAAAAAAAAACCTTAATTACTGTAACATTTAATTAACACTTCAGAATCAAATGGTGATCTTTTATTGAAGTTTCAGCATAAATTTCTCATTCATATTATTATGGGTATTCTTTTTGTATACATAAAACTTCTAAACTATTCAATCGATTTTGGCGCAGCATGTGACTTATGTTTTAAAACACCCTAGAGCTGAGAAATTTTACTAGATGCATTATTTGTTGCAATTGTTATATAAATCATTAATATATTTGAATAACATGGGAATCTTTTCTGAAATCCTATCTTAAGATTTCATATAATTTATCTGTTATAATTGAATTATATTAAAGATTTATAAATAATCTAATTAAAATTTTAATTTCACTTGATAAATCATTTAGTTTTACTTTGTATGTATTACAAGTTTCTTCTATTAATTGATATAGAACTATCATTAAATAAGACCCCCCCCAACTACAAAAAAATAAAAAAATACCGTTTTAAAATCGTTAGGTTGCAAAATATGCGCATCATGAATGTTTTAGCATGAATTGTAGAAAATCTAGTGTTTGTCAATTATGATGGAATCACAAGAACACTAATTTTTCGTTGGACTAGGTATACAAATAGACGTTCGATATTGACATAAAAACTATGTTTACAATTTAATACTCCCCTTCCACACATAAAAAATTGTAATGTACGCCGCTGGCTACAGGTACCCCGAAGAGGCCTCCTAATGACACAGACTAAAAAATATGCAACCAGTATACACCTGTATTGTACGTAGCGTAATAAAAGTACACCTTGAGAAATGTGAATAGGTCTTATATTTCCATTTCCGAACGGAACAAGTTTCATAACAATATACATTATCCACACTTGTCGGTGGTTTTTTTTTCTCATTTACCTCCTCTATCGTGTTCATCAAATTCTACTTTGGAAAATAAAAGAGCTGCACGTGCACCGTTATAACCATCAGTGACGCTACGTCGTAGCATATCATGAACTGTTATAATTATTATCATGATACGTTTGGAAAATTCCGATCTGAACAGTGTTCGGTCTGCGAGAACCCGTCACTCGTGGTACAATGTACGATAATACTCCGGTGCGTACGTATCCAGACAACTGGTTTTGTTTATTCTCACATAACGATTGTGCGTAATTGAACGCAGTATTGTTCACGAACGCTAATCAGTGGACTCTGTTCACCGCATAACACAGATAACATATATGTGATTCACGGGTTAAAATGTTCGACCAGAAATCGTGTGAAATAAAACGTGGATTAAAACGTAAGCTTAACATCATGTTCTGAATGGTTCCATCGTTGGATAGCCTTCGTTGTCGAGTCACTCCCTTTTATTGTAATAGAAACATTAAAAAAAATAAATACGGTGGCAGTGCGTAAGTATTCCAATAATAATACCCGATTCGCGTTAGCTGATTAAAAATTATTGACGACCAGAAGACCATTGTATTGGTCGCGGGTAACGTACGTAGACATAAATAATGTTGTTCGTTTACCGAAAACGGTCGCCAGGAGAAAAATGACCGGTAAAACTATTGGAAAACAAAGCGCCAGGACAGGAGGAGGCCTCGACCTCCACCGTCATGGGTACGTACTGTAGACGTGTCGAAAAACAAAAAAACAAAAAATATCCTTGGACGCCACGCCGAATTCGTGTGCGCGTTGCGTACGCGGTGGCGCGGAGGCTTGACACGGATTCGAACGGTTCGCGGTCGTATATTCGTCGGCCGCGGTACGTAATTGTTCACACGCGTGGATCGAAATCCGACCAGTCGGTCCGTGTCCGGTTCCGCGAGGAAGACGGCAGAAAATCGCAGTCGACCGTCGCGCACGATAAATACGTGCGAGAGCGCGCGCGCTTGTCTGGTACACCGCCCACTAGTGCTCTGCACGGTCCGTTATTTTAAGGACCAGATCGGACTTTAAATTTTACCAGCGGACCGAAGTCGGACCGGACCACACTTAAACTTTAATCAAACACCAAAAATCGGATCGAACCGACGGCTTCATATTATTTTTAGACCGGACCGGACCAGTGATTAGTTGACATTTAATAAATTGGACCGCGGACCTGACACTGTCGGTTCGATCTTAAAACATTTTGGACCGTTTATGGACTACCCGACCTTATAAATAATTATATACCTACCTACATTTGTAGGTGTTTTTCGTTTTAATTTTTTTACATAACAATAACTGTACTGTTCGAACTGTTCCTAAAAATTATTGAACCGGACCAAACCGACGATTCAATGGTTTCTGTACGTTAGGACCGTATTAGACCGGACTGATTAAGACCGGACCATGCAGAGCACTACCGCCCACTGAAATTACACGGGGAAACGAACGGATTTTGATTTTCTCGCCGCGACGTCGTCTTGTTGTATGGTGTTCACAGACGGGCAGAAACAATAGGACGGCGCACGCAAAGCGAGTGGCCGTCGTATTCAGATGCGAACGCGCGAAAACAATAATGCCATACGGATACGTGCGCGTGCGTATACGGTTAAACTGATGTCCGTCGAAGGCGTTCCGCGTGCTGGCCGTATACGTACAGGGCAGGTCTTATTCTAACGGCCAGATGACTTTATGAACACGGGCACCTTACAGAAATATGATTTTCCACCGAGTATTTGAAATTTGTGTAATTTATAAACCCAACCCGGTACGTAATAGGTAATAATTGTGTAAGTATACGGTCTTTGACACTCGGACGTTTGATTAGTCTATGAAATTTGGAATTTAAACAGCGGTATACTTATAACGGAAAAGATCCGTATTATTTTTAATATTTTACCACGCTATGATCGAAATTCTTGAATTTCATAAAACAAAACTTTTCAGTGTGTTCGCGCGGTAGGTAAGAACAAGCCCTGGTACTGGGCGAGGCCGTCGCGCGTTTTTTGCGTTTTTTCTCCGGAGGAGAGCTCCAACGCGGCGGCTCATCCTGTACACGCGAAAACCGTCGGTCTGCCATTACCTTGGTCGACAAACACGGTCGGATGCGAAACAATTGTCTGCCGCGCACGTTCCACTCGTGTGCGGCGTCGGACTGGAGTATTATTTTTTCAACCAACATTATAATAGCGAATTGCGAACCCCTGGTACAGTGCCGTGCGAACGCGACACCGAACCGCAGCGCATTCCGTTGACGACTTGCCGCGACACACTCCTATCCCGTAAAACATTATAATACCTGCAGCGCACGCGTTCTCATTTTATCGCACAACTACAAACGACAACTGTTTCTGCTGCTGTACGTTCTTATCAACCGTTTACCGATAACCAAAGTCGCAAACTGCGAGACGTGTCGCCGTCACAGTCATAACGCGTGCAATCTCGGTCTCGAGGTGAAAACTTTATCCCCGTGTGCGTTAGTTTAGGTTGCACCTTTAGCAAGTTGATTTCAGAACACGCGCACACGCAATCTTCGCGTCGTGTTCCGTTCTCGATAACAATCGGAAAATAAATATTGTACGTACGCTTCGTGTGTACAACGATTAACTAGAAGGTATACATTATTGGCACACACCCGAGTGTTGCCGTAGGTATATTGCCGCACCTAACTTGTAGTTGGCATGCGCACACGTGCACGGACACTCGGGTGCACGCAGCACCGTATAAACAAAGGAACCCGGAACGGATGAAATAAAAATCCGAGTTATATGTTTGTAATAAATCATATTATAATTATTGAATTAAAAGCTAATAACTCAAGTAATTAATATACCCAAACAATATAAATCATTTAATAAAAGAAAACAAAAGAGAAAAATAAAAGTATTCAAAGACGAAAAAGCGTAAAGATATACGCTGTACATAGATATAATAGATTTATATAATATATTTATAATAAAATTATGTGTAGTCTCTCCCCGTGTATTATCTTGTATAGATAACATAAATGTTTTTTTTTTTTTTATAATAAAGCGGACTACGTCATATTTCTAGGACTCGGGCTGAAATCCACCCATTCGATTTGTTGATTGGGTCACATAAATAAAGATTTTTCCCGTACTAAAGCTAAACGTCTAAATAAATACTAAAACCTAGGCTATACATCGATAGGATCACAGTCATAACAAAAAAAAAAAAAAAAATAATAATAATAATAATAATAATAATAACAATTAGGACTTTAACCTAAACTGTACAGAAAAAAAAAAAACGCGCTTCTACACGATACGAAAATTAAAACCGAGTTAATCCCGAGAGTTGTGAATCAGTTGGAATGTCTGCATAATGTATTCAAAAGGATTTACAATGGATTTTCCTCGGTAACTCGACGACAACGGTAGCGGCGATGGCTACGACGGTGGTGATAGTGACGACGGCGGCGATGAGCAACGTTTAATTTTTCTTTCATTTTTTTTTTTATTCGTTCACATCAACTTTTATGTACCGTCTAACAGCTGACGACTCTCGAGTCTGACGAATTCGAGAGTTTGTCTTGCGCACGAGAAGCGGGGGAAATTGTCTGCAAAAAAAAAAACAAACAAAAAATAAATATATATTTTCCAAAGCGAAAAAAAACATATGAAATATATGTATATAAAACAATAATAAAATCGCGTTTTTCGGAACATTGCGGTTTGACTGCACTGACAAAGGTCAAGGGGTCACATGCGAAGTGATGAGAAAATAAATTGTTTCGCGGGGCTTTGCAGAACGGTGAAATCCCGAGAGAAAGTAGGTGGAACATATTACGATGGCGCGCGGGCGCTGCAACTGTAATAATAATAATAATACGTTTCAACGGTAATTTTCGCAGCGTTATGAAATCATGCGACGGGAAAACGAGATAACGTGTACGTTAATTTCGTAACTCACCGGTTCGGCGGACGATTGCGGTTGAGCGGCCACTGCGACGGCGGCGGCGGCCAACGCGTTCGGCGTGGATATGATGCCAAGCGGTTGCCGTACCGCGGCCACCGACGACGAGAGCATGACGGCCGCGGCGGCCGAGTGGACGGCGTCCGCGTTCACGGACCTGTGGTTTTCCAGCATGTCCTCCAGGTCGCATATGTAGTCGATCACGTGATGGATTACCTCCAGCCGGGAGATCCTCTTGTCCTTGGGTATCAGTGGCACTAGGTCCTTGAGCTTGGCCAAATACTTTTGGATCTTCTCGTCTTCCAGGTCACCGCGCTTGTTGCGGTTCACCCGACCACCGGCCACGGCTCCGGTCGAACCGCTGTTGTTGTTGTTGTTGCGACACAAAGGTATGGATTTCATGATGACGAATGGTGATGAATACGGATCGGACGCGCGAAAAAAAATAAAACCAAACGTACCGGTCGATACGTGGAGCGCTCGCGCACGCAGCAGCACGTGAACGGGCTTAGAGCAAAACGGAACGAAAAACGAAATCGGGGAGAATGTCTGGGCGAACACGACCGCACACGGAAAACGTACGTTTTTATTCGGGTCTGCGGGCTTCTTTCTTGGTTCGCTGCGAGAGACACGTTGTCGAGAGTGTGACGTGTACAGGGAACGGCGAACGTTGAACGACTGGTGTCGGGCCGCTACGAGTCGGGTGGTATTTATAGAGCTCGGCGGCTGGTGGGAGGGGTGAACGGGACGAAGGAGGCCACGCCCGCGACGGCGGCGGCGGACGAGATTGAATGAATTTCAAAGAGACGACCGTAGCGCGCGCGCACGCACAACGCGGCGGCCTCAGACTGTAGAAAAACGGCGGCGGCGGTGACGCGGACGCGCACACCTGACACCTGCCTCGACGGCGGCCACCGAAAAATACCGCAGAGGATTTTTACCCGTCGCCGCCGCCGCCGCCGCTCCTCCGCAGCCCGGTTATCTCGAAGCGGACCGGACCGAACGGGCTAGTTGGCGTGGGAACACCAACTGGAATATATCCTCTCGTACACACGTATTCGTGTACGTTTATTATTATATATGTGCGCACGAGGAGGCTTCACATATTATTCTCAACGTGTGTGTGTATATATACATAGAGAGAGAGAGAGAAGTTCTCTTAAGTATACGGTTTTTTTATTATTATTATTATTATTTTTTTATTAGATTATTATGATCCGATTTAATAGTATATACGTACCATGCGTGTATGTGTGTGAAGCTGCCCTTTCAGTCACTTTTACTTATACACCGCGGTACTACCGCCGCTGGTGTTATGCGAATTCGACCTTCGTCGACTTGTACATATTTGTATAAAATTATACTACACACTGCGTATCGTACGTACTTGACAATATTTTTTGTGCATAAGTTCTGGTTTAAAAACTCACGTGCACGTCGCTTTTTATAAACAGATACGATATGTTTTACGAACTGATTTTGATTATATTTTTTTCTTCGCCTTTTTACACCGTGAAATATTATATTACTATAATATACTGTACGCGATTAGTAATCGTAATAAATTCGCACTAACTGGAACGCACGAGTAGGATCGATACGTAAATTAATATTTTGTACGTATATTCAATTTAATATATGATACGTATTGTTGTACATAAATTTACGTGATTATTTGATTGGAAAAAATGTATGTAAACAGAACACTAAGATACAATGTTTTTTTTTGCATATTTATGTACACGGAATACGAGAATATAATGTATTTTTTTTTTTTTTTATATATTTCTTGTTTTGTGAAAATCAAATAAACGATTAGACGGTTGGGAATATGGTTTTATATTTCTTCTGTATTCATAATAAACAAATATACTTAACTCTAATAATAGTCAATATATTATTATTATTGATTGTACAGGGTGTAATGAAATAATCCATGTTCCGTTCGTAAATCATTTTTTTTTTTACAATAAAATGTACCTACATTAAATAATTACAAAAGAATTATTATTTTAAAATTATTTCTAGACGGATATTAACGATTTTTGGATTAAATAAATAATGCCCCAATTTCTAGGTATATTATTTGTACTAGGTTAAGTATTAAATTATATATATTATTCAGTACATCAATCCGAAGATAAGTCAAATTACAATATTTTTTTAATTTGTTGATAATCTATAAGAATACATATTTAAATTTCTTTATGTTGCACTAAAACGGTAATTAAATAAAATGAATTACTATTACAATATAATTACTTTATTAGTCATTGGTTTCCTAATGTATGTTCAGTATTATAAAGACGTATATTATGTAATACTGCGTTCTAAATATAATCAATGTGTTTACTGTTGAATAGGTAGAGTGATATGTTGATACATTGTACCTTTTGAATATAACATTTACAAAACTTTTGCTATTTTACACCTTATATCAGTTCGTTTTGTTCTCTAGTTTTATTTTTTTTAATAAATTATTTTCAGTTAATATTAGTTGCACTACAATCGAGAACAACAATTATACTACTACTATTCTGTATCATGTAGGTTGTTAGTCATTACGGTTGAGATAAGTTTTCAAGTTTTGTTTTCGTGTAGATAATTTACTTACTACAAAGCTAGTTCTTTAACAAAAAAATTTTTGGTAAATATTTAATTAGTGTTTTATCATTTGAAACGTGAGTGTATAAATAATAGAATTGCTCTTGGAGTGTTTGTAACATTTATTATTTTTATATTGTGTTTACGTTGCGTAAGATTAGCAACGTATTACACGTAGACTCCCATAAGACGAGTAGAACCGAGTATTTTCCTTGAAATGTAAATATAATCTTCTGACTATTTGCATGCAATAACATTACATAGAATAGCAACGAAATAGTGAAACATTGTAATGAATAGTATTTATACAGCCATAAAAAAATCACCGCTTACAATATTTCTGTTTAAACGTAAGACATTATTTTGTCATAAAAATGTAGATCCGACTACAACGGTTATTACACGACCATTATTTGAACATTAGAGAATTTCAAAATTTAAGTATTATATACAGAGAAAAATGTACCTCGTACGTACGTAAGAAAATCATCGTACTACATTACACAAGTAAGTACATTTTAATTTGAAATCGGTACAATACGAATTCCAATCGCTACAATTACTCTGCATAGGAAAACAGTTCATATACGCGTTCATATTACGCACATTGTATATGCATATATATTTATTATAGATGTAAGTTTTATTTGCTGTACAACAAAAATAATCTCCTGCATACACTTAAGACCGGGAAACATGTTACGGAAACATAACAATTTAAGCTCGTGAAAATTGAGTTCATTTTGTTATTCGTGTACGTAATCATGGCAAGACGACAACGATAGTCGCACGCGGTTTGTTGAACTCGTTGTTATCAACGGCTTATAAGATTTTCTTACCGCTTTTACTACCATGCATGCGAGTATTTTAATAGTACGATGCTCGCGTGATATTATTTTATATTTCGTACTTTTTACAAAAAGCCATCGATTCGTCGCGGTAAATTAGCGTTTTGCTGCACGTTTTTCGCGATCGGCGAACGGGACTTAAAAACTCATTAAAAAAAACACCTCCCCGATGGTTAAGCGAACCCATTTGAGGTATCGGTTTAAATAGCTTCCGGGTACGGTTCGTAATGAATGCAGTCTGCTGCCGCCGACGCGGTTGTATATATTGTAACGTACGAGCCCGTCGTCGTTGTGCCAACAGAAATTCACGGTGTCCAAAACGGGGGACACGTGTTTTTCTTTTTACATATTTTTATCTTGTACACGTCTATGCGCGTGCATGGTCGGGAGTACGGAGCAGTGGGTATAGAAAAAAAAAAAAAACACATTTCAACAACCTTAGAAGTACATACCAATATATGAGCGGCACACGTGATGTAGCAAAATTTCTGTACACGTTTTCGAAAATCCTTACAAGGGAAAACTACAAAAATAACGAGTGCGGATCGTAAATAATAATAATGATAAAAAACAAATAAAAAAAACGAGACTTTTTGCACAATTACCAACGATTCCCTCCGATCGTTTCCAAATTAGTAATCCGTTAATTAATGGCGGCTCAGACGTTCGCGATGACCGTATATACGTATGTGTATAGATTCCCGATCGCCTTCAATACGAATCAGATCGATTTTCGTACGTGTCAACCGCACATTCGCAACGTCTAATTGTCCCGCACGACACGCACACAATTTGTAACGTTGTATCGCACGTTCGATTTATTGGTACAAACGAGACTCGGACAACGGTTCTCGTCAGTTCAAGCGTTTTGTCGAAATGGATTTCATATATGAACTCGGGTCGTTTTTAGTTGTAAAACACCATACACCCGACACATATGTGCGCGACAAAAAAACAAACCCAAATACGTATTTCGACGGGTTTCGTGTAAATCCATATGTGTTTTGGTACAACGCACGTTGCAGTTTCACATTGATTCCCCGATGTGTACCATATTATGATATTGTGTTACCATGTGACACGTAAACAGCCTATTAAATCAACAGGAATGAAACACGACCAGTTGCGTATCTCTATCGGCGCGCTCTGTAAACGTTACTGTTGCAGTCATCATACCTTTTCACGACCTTCTAGGTAATGTATCACCGGAACATTGTGAAGGAAGTTAACCAATTGCGCTTAAAATTACCTTTTCATATATTATTTGCGCTTTAAACATTTAAGGGTCGATATACCAAGTTAAAATTTTAGATTCGATAGATCATTTGCGCTCTGCACATTTGACATTACCTAAGGAAAACAACTACAGTTGTCACAGTAGTCACAACTACATAAAAATTCTAAATTTGATTTTGTAGAAAAACATATTATATTCAACATATTATGGTTTATAAGCAAAAAATGCTCACCCTTGTATGTATTTGTATCCAAATTATTTAATGCTGTATGCACTTCGGTTACATTTTTCGTCAATGGTGGTAGCGTTTTTCTACGAGTACGATAAACGTTTCGTCGTATAGAATTCACATCGTTTAATGTCAAATCTAACGCACTTGATTGCACTTGATTCCGAATTAATTTTAGTGGTCGTAACTTGGTCAATTGCTTTTCTTTTTAACGAATTAGCAGCAATTTGTCTATTAATATTTACACTTGCTTCGTGGTTGTGATAAAGTTAGATTTAAAAAGCACCGTTTCACTTACATCACATAAAAAATTCGAAGTGCTCGGTTTAATTGTACATCTCCATGTTATTCCATTTTTTGAGATAGTACATTTTCGAAAATTATACTCATCAAAAACTGAAAACGGTGTACCTTTTTCACTAAGAGCTTTTGTAAAACAATCCATATTGTAATGTTAAACAACTCAAAATAATACTAACCGACTAACAAGACATAAGTATTGGGTATCATCAATGTGTTATTTTATATACAGTATACTGTGCGCAGCGAAACAATTAGACTGATAAAATATATCTAATGAAAATTAAATTAAATTTAAATTAAAATAATGAAAACTTGTTTTCATCCATCACTCAAATGCATACTTCTGTGATCAAAATATGTGTGTTATAACAATATTTCATAAATTCCCGATACTGTTATAAAATATATTAAAACCAGGTTATTTAGTCAGTAATCAATTTCTCAATAAATATCAGACAAATATAAAAGGCGTAATTGGTACAATGACCCTAAAATATATGGAGCGCAATTGGTACACGATCTTAAAATATATGCTGCGCAATTGGCATATTGACCCTAAAATACAA